TGCAGGACTCTAACGTTTGGTGGCAACAGTTTGAAAATTGAAACGGACATTTATAGTGATTCGATGCAAAATCGGAAAACGAAAACAAATTCAGGCACAAACCCCATTTGGACTAAAAATCGTCAAATGGACTGGAATCGGTCAAAAGGGATATTTCCGTTGAAATATAATAGCCAAAATTTTTCGCGATTAAAATACTTTTTTTACTTCGCGCAAGAAATTTGTGTTGTTGTTGTGACTGATCTCAGTTCTCTGACTTCATCCTCAGCACAACCCCACGAAATTTATTGTGGCAAGGATTACACGATTATGTCTGTCGCTGGCAAGGACAGGTGACAGTAATGACTCCTACAGGTGACAGTAGGAGTTTCCCTATTCCACTCCAGTGTTGAGAGACAGCACTCCGCGGGATGGGTCCGAGGGTCTCTCTCTTCCCTACCACTAAACCACATGAATGGACTTCCGATTCGTCGTATATTTAGAGTACCCCCATGACGCAAAGACACTATACATTTTAAAAACACCCATGCCTTGTCCGGGATTGAAACACACACCCTTCGGTACAGTCTTCAGATTCATTAATTACGATCCTGTCTGTAAATAAGGAAGCAAAAATTAATAATAGTTTTTTAGAACAATATAATTCGAAACTTCTATTTGTCTTTGATTCAAATGAAAGTAAGAATGTAGAAATGATCAGATATGAAAACGCAGCAGGTTTTTGCTGAGATCTGAGCTATGAATCTTGCACCTGCCAAGTGGAAGTGGCAGCAAATTACACTACAAAAACACGCATGGAGGAATGAAATTGTTTTCTTAAAAATACTGATTTTTATTGGAGATCAACTTTTAGTTAACGCAAGATATAATTTTCAAAGCTGTTATAGAATAAATATTTACATAAAACTGAAGTTTTTTTAAATGATCAAGTACCACGAAGAAGCAGAAATACATTTAATTCATAATTATGGCTTGATTATATCGGTGATTACTTTCCTATTGCAAATATGTGTTTATAATTTTTTTAATATATTTAAATTCATTTACCAAAATTAGCATTAGAAATAAAAAATCCAGTCAAAAAATTATCCTTCAAAGATAAATATCTAACTCAAAGCTGTAAATAAATCAAACGTTTTCGTCTCCGTTGACTCGTTACAAATAGCATCTTAAAACTAGAAAAAAAAAATAATTTAATGAATTTACTTTTTACAGTGATAAATTCCTTACGGTTAATTTTTTTTTTTTTTTTTTTTTTGTTATTTTAATGGTTTTCTCTTTAGAGCTATTCATCAATGAACCATTACGTATTGTTTACAAACAGTGGAATCATTAATAAAATTATTTAATTTTATGATATTTTTCAGGATTCTAAGAGCACCTCGCATTCCTTCAACTTGATTCTGCATTCATTAATTAATACTTTGATAACAAAAAAACGTAGCTCAGTATATTTGCTCTTGTTCTCGTTTGAATACAAATATGATCGAAAAAGGTATTTTGAAAAGGATCAAATGAACAGTACGCCTACAACATTTTAACTAATTAGTCATCTAACTGATTGATTACCTTAATTAACAAAAGTTATTTCCTTTAATAAAGATAATAGCAGAGGAAGCAGAAAATGGAAACATTAGTATGCTCGAATTGATTTAGCAAATCCAAACAAAATGCCGCTTCTTTGATTATGTGTCTTCATAACTTATTGATTTTGAATAACAGAAATCAGTTTTGCACAAAACTTGAGTTTGAAATTTGTTACACAATAACTACTTGCACAAAATTATAGTTTTTAATAAGCAAACATTACAATTGAACATAAATTAAATAATTTCATAAGTATGAACCGTTCCATAGATGTTGGTTCTTATAAAATATCTCTATTTCATTTTATTATTCATTATTGTATTTTGAGGTCTATGTTCAATCTTGAGAAAGTAAAACCTTTGGCGACTCTTGTCTGATCTGTCATTGAAACACAATTCACTTCGATCAGTTTCAGTGATGGATAAATAAATTTGCAGATTCACGTAGCTTCAGAAATGCTTTGTAAAACACTTACGCTGGAAAATTTTCAGGCATGTTTCGTTGGTGATTTGTCAACAATTTATTTAGTATACTGTAGATATTTATTTAAATTACTTAACAGTTATTTTAATTTGAAGTAGCTCTCCTATCGCTCTTGCTTTCAACTCACACATTGTTTCCAAATTGCAAATTATCTAGAGCGTGCATTCAAATGAGGCAGAAAGAAACTAGTATTAAGGAAAGGATTTGGAAGGTAAAATCAGAGCGTGTCCCTTCTGCCTGAAGGTCACGTTGCTATCTTTGATTTTATAGCGATTAGATTTCTGTGGCGTTCAGCTATTCTTGCCATTAAGCTTGTTTAGCCCCGAATTTTCGATTCAGAGTCAACTTGCCACATAGTTAGGCTGTGGCCGTTAGGCTGATTTAACTTCATTTAATTAAAAATTTTTCATTACGTTTTGAGTTGAACTAAAAGTGTTGGCTTTTGTGAGCACGAATAGGCACTGTCTGTGATCTTATTTGAGTTAATAAGGTTTCCAGTACTTTAAAGATCTAGTGATTATTAACTAAGCAGTATTCTAACGTCGAGCTCAGTTTATGTTAGTCGAGCATACAAGAGTTGTAATACTATAAAATTTAAAAGAGAATTTTCAGATAGTTTTACGTTGTTGTTTTCTTTAACGTGTGAACATAAGGAATATAGAGCAAATTTAGAATTATTTTGGTATTTTATTTTTTAACCCTAACATTTTATTATTACTACTTTGGAATTTATTTTTAGAGTATTTTAATTTTGGAACATTAATAATCATGATTTTTCAAAAAAAATCGGCCCAAGTATATTTCCTTTACATATCGCTCTTAGATATTACTTCCAGTTAAAGTTTTTCTTAAATAGTATCAAAAAATTATATGAAAAAAATCGCCATTATATAATATTCTATTCTGTAAAAGAATAATAAGAAAATCGAAAAATTTATATGATAAGAATACATTTTCAAACTCTCCTGTTGTTATAAATATTCAGAACGACATTACCTGGAAATAACACACGACACACGTTTCTTTATGACAAAGATTGGGATAATAAAATAAACATTATCGCATTAAATGGAACAGACGAACAGAGCGCAGATGAAATTGATTTAATCAGAATCAAAATATCAATTGCTGAAATCATTACATTTTGCTTTTTAGCTACGCGTCTTAAATGCTTTTCAAGAATTGTTGAATTTCAAACTGTAGAATCCGGGAGAAATTTGGCTAAATTCGTATTTTTTAAACATCATGAAGAAAACTGCATGAAAAGGTAATTTTATTTTTTGTTTTTATTGATTAAAATATAAAACACCTTTTACTAATTGAAAATTCAATATAATATGTGCAGCGCGTTTAAAATAAGGTTTCATTTTCCAGGAGTACGTCTTCTTATACAGTTGGCATTGTCTCTCCAAAAACTTTAATAAGCTTTATAAATTAAAAAAATTGTCTAGGAAACATTTTAAAAAATTTTATCACAAAGCTGGAATTTCCGATCATCATTTGCATTCACGCAACATGTTTTTCAACTTTTGCAAATATTGTTCAATAAGTAGCACAGAAATTCGGGTACAAATTTTATGCTACCGTTTGTATATATTGAGAAAATATTAATGATCTTATTTGTTCCTATTATTTAAACTGTGATATAATTGAATGTGAAAAGATATTAAGGAAGAAAACTCTAACATGTAATTCAATACTGATGTAAAGATTTTGTCGTAACATCTTAGAAAATTATCTAGCATTTAGAAGATCCATGGTTCAATAGTTGATTAATCATGTTTTCCTACTTTGAGAAAATACAAGTAAAATGATCTTTTAAACTGAGTATTTCGAATTCATGCAGTGTGTATGTATAATTCCTGTAATTAAATTGTTTAAAAACGCTATGATTTCGTTGCCTGTGATGCGCATGAAAGACTGCAGAATATTGTAGAGATAATTAACGCGGCGTTCAAATCAAGCAGGTTCTGGATACTGTCATTTCTTGCTTGGATTGTTAATAATCTGCTAATAATTTTAGGAGGCTAATAATCTGGAGACGATAGCTTGCGATTAGTTGTGACGGTTAAATGTTCCCCTTAATTTTACCTGCACGTAAATGTAGTGTTGAAATTATTTTTTTCCCTCCGATGGAGCCAATTTTTCTTTTATTACTTATCGTCTGTCGCTGACTAGGTCACGTGACTGGCAGCAGAAAAAGAATGTAATAACTCTTTGAGTTTAGTTTGAGTTTGACGCTTGAAATGATCTGTTCTTGGCTGCATAGCGGTAATCAACAATTATAATATTTGTTCTTGATAAAACTAATCTTGGTCCTATGATGGGCAAATTTATATTATATGTAAATTTCATGCTTTGAATAATGTAAAGACTGTACATAGGCGCTTCATTAAATATTTCTGTGTTTCAACTGGAAGTTCTATTCAAGTGAGTCTTTAGTGAAAATGGTATACTGACTCTTGATTATACTAGTATATTCTTGATTAAATTGATGCTCTCCCAACTCGTGAATAAAACAGAATCGTGAATCGAGATCATAACGTAACAAGTTTTAAACATTTTTTGGTACCGAAACCCGGGAACGAACCAGGGACCTTTAGATTTCGTAATATCTAAATGTCCGGGAATTTCGGCACCAAATATGTATAAAACTTGTTACGTTATGATCACGATTCACGATTCTATTTTATTCACGAGTTGGAAGAGCATCAATTTAATCAAGAATATACTAGTATAACCAAGAGTCAATATACCATTTTCATGTACAGTTGTTTATTTATTGTTAAAGGATAATTAGATAAACATGATAGTGTTGTAATTGATTCGTATTAAGACTAGAGTTTGAAAATGTTTAACTTTTAAGATGGTGAGCAACTTAGCATTTGTTACAATTTTTTTAATGTGCAGAAAAATTTTCCAAAACTTACAGCTAGTTGAGAAATTCATGGGGTGAGCGATGGCATCGTAACGGTCTATGCTCAGAGCCACTAGAACGTACGTCGAGCTGTATGTCACCAGAAACTGTAACAAAAGAAAAAAATGTAAGTAGGTTAGTTGGAGTAATTTCATAAATATATTAGATTCATGAGAATAAATTGAAAAAAAAATAGGGTAAAAGGCTAAATAATTGGGATTTTATGAATATGCGCCACGTTAGAAGAGGATAGTTTATTTTTCACTTTCAGCAGAAAATGATCCTGCAGATGAAATTTAGAATATGAACAGAAAATTTTAAATATTTTTATAAACAAGATTAATTCGGTATTTCTTTATTTATGGAGTAAGTTTTCCAACTGAAGAGTTATTTATCTAAAATTATCATCAATCTAAGGACGAATCTTGCATGCTTTTACAGTTGGCATGGGGGTTTTACATCTATTAGCTGTCCTTAAAATCCTATATATTACATATATAATGCATGCAAAAGTATATGAATATACAGAAATATAAAATCAATTGAAACTTCTCAGTTACTGCCAAACTTTCATTACGCGAATAATAAAAACCATAGACAAAATACATAATGATACATAAATAAAAGAGTTAACATTTCATTTTGGTTTAACAGGCCATTTAAATATTTTCAATAAAGAGCTGCAAGGAAAGAATAAACTTATCACTCACATGAGCGCTTCTATTTAAGATTTTTAAGTTAAACTGCAGATATGAGAAAGCTGCAATAAAGCATTTTCGCGCATTTTTTATGTCTTAAACGCCGGAGACCTTAAAAATGTGCAATTTCCCCACCAGGATTTGAACCCTGGACGTCTCGAATACGTGCCGAGTATGTTTCCAGTTACACCTCGAAGACATGGGGAAGGGAAGGAGAAAACACCTTATAGCTTACCGTGATTGGGCTGCAAAACGATTTCGTTAGATCAGCGTTCTTCGAGGAAGACGGTGTTTAGATAAATATAGACAAGAATTCATCCAGAGAAGATTTTTGCTATGTATACACTGTGATATGGAAAGCTTGTTTATCTTGAGCTATTGTAAAACAGGGAACCATAAAATATACACCTGCGATGATCAGTTAGGTAATTTAAAACGAGTCATACCGACTAAATGATCTGCATTAATCAACAGACCTGTTACCTTCACAGGGTAGCAATGAATCGATACTGGAAGAGTTGACAAAAGATTAATAATGGGAAATTTATACTCATAAGGCCCAGATATTGTTTCTTCCAGTTATTAGCTACTTAAATCACTACAGGATTTTCTTATTGAGATTACTATCTACAGTTTTCAATACTTTAAAATGCAATACATATATAAAGCGGAAGAAAAATGACATCTTCATAAAAGGAATTAAGATTTATTTGAAAGACTGGAGGGATTCAAGAAAAAGGATTGCTATTATTTAAATAACATGTAGAATACAGTGTAATTTTATAACCCTTTATTTTAAATACTTTTCCTAACAACCTCATTTCATTTCCCTGCCAGAATGCAAATTTCCAGTATATCCAAATTAGGCAGAAGGAAGTATTTAAAAAAAAGTTTTAGAGTGTCAAATTAGAGCGTGTTCTGCCTGTTTGAGAGCCACGTTGCTAACTTTGATTCTCTAGCAATTAAAATTCTGCGGCGTTGAGTTATTCTTACCATTAGGTGCGTTTTACACCCACCTCCTAACTTTGTATTTGAAAGGACTTAATGATAATTCACAAAACATTTTTCAACGTCGCGTACATTTTATGACAGTTACTAACACAGAGGTTACTACAGTTACAAAAGCAGACGTTACGAACTAAATAAATGCTACAGTGCGTTTAAATATTTGAAGGAATATGTCTTCATCCTGCTACATATTTCGATCAAAATACGCTATTTAAAAAGCAGGGATAAATAAAATATTTTGTTTACCTAAATGGATCGTGGACTACACTTCTACGCCTAAATACAAATTAAAAATTATTCTTATTCTTTAATTAGCATAGTGCAGCTATGAATAAGAATTCTTTATTTGAAATCTCTGAATAGTTCTCAGAAAATCCAACGGTATTAAAGATGGCAATTGATTGAAAGGAGTTATTTTTATTTGCAGCAATGAAATTTAAATCCCATTTGTTAAAGTGTCATTAATCACTGAGTTTGAAATGTGACGAAAGTGAATTCATTTAAAGAATAAAATGCCACAAAACTTCCTAATTAGCTTCGTAATTAGCATGCTCTAAATTTCAAACGTTTAAACCTCGTTTCTTCTTTATCGCAAATAATTAGTGACTTTAGCTCATTTTCGTGGTACTTAAAAGAAACTGCGTTCAGTATTTAACGCATTTATGTTTTTTATATAATGTGAAAAAGGTGTTACACGTGTATACAAACCATTTATATAACACGTGTCTTGCTAATTCAATAAATATTTCTTCTGGTTATAAGCCAGAACTAAAAAAATATCTGTGGTAGATTACTACAAAAAATACGCTATTATTAACATAATCAGTACAAAGAAATTAACTAATAAGTGAACTTATAAGGTAATTCAGGGTATAATAAAGTTTCGTTTGCTTAAAGCAAGTGGTACCAGAATGGGTTAAAAATAATCAATATTTATTTCTAAAAATATGATAGTGGACACCGCTGACTTCCCTGTACGGCCTAATTATACACATTTTTTCATTTCATTTTCGGAAGCATTATGGTGTGAGCAGGGATTATTTTCTCGAATTTCATTTTAAAGATATACGTATTTCTCATTTAATAAATTCAGTTTTCAGTTTTCACTTCAAAAATTCATAAAAACACGTAACATCTTGATTAAAAATTGTAACATAGAGGAAACATAAAACAACAATAAAATTTAAAAAAAAAAAAAAAAAAAAAAAACTATTTTTGCAATTAGAATTAAAGTTTCTTCGCAAAAACAAAAATTCGGCACGCAGAAAGGAAGACAGGTTTCTTGTTTCGGTGCACAAAACAGAAAGTTTACTTTTGATCCCACTCGGCACAAAGGCACTGAAGTTGGTGCAAAAACCGACATAATTCGCTATTCTAATTAGATTTTTAAATATAAACAAATGGTGGCTTTATATCATTTAAAACACTTTTTAATTTTCGATAAATCTACAGATAAATCTACAACTATTGCATGCAGATTAACTAAAGTTATAAAACCTTTAATCTGAACGTAAAAACAACATACTTCAATCAATTTTAAAGCAAAATAGGCATAGTATACCAGCATATAAGAATAAAAAATCTGAGCTCACTGAACTGGGTAACCGAGTGAGTATATATATATATATACTTTTGGTGAAGCCGATTGCAAAGAAAAAGGAAGGTCACATAATACAAAATTTCGTCGTTCTGCAGCTACTCGTTTTCGCATTTGGCGAGATACACTCACTTCCAAAAGTTAAGCACGGAGAGGAAAATGCTAATTTCCGGAAGCCAATCAGAATGGAGGAGGATGCAATTCGCTGTAGAGGTAGATGGAAGTGTGCAAATATGTTAGGTAACAGCCAATCGCACTTTCATGTCAAGAAATATGGAGCTAGATGGAGCTCTGGAGCCAGATGACAAGAGTATAAGGAAATAGCGTGAACAACGAATACGCAATCAGTCCCAAAACACATCACCGCACATTACGCATTCCGAGGCGGAAGCATTATGGTGTGAGCAGGGATTTCATTAGGATACCCCACCGACCTGCACATCTTTAAATGGGGTTCTTTGACGACTGTCTGGTATCGAAATGAAGTCCTAGAACACATTGTGAGATTGTACGCTGCAGCAGTTGGCCCTACTTTTGCTTTAATAAACGATAACGCCCGTCCCCATAGAGCTGACATCGTCGATGTCTACCATTAGAGTAAAGGGATTGCGCGCATGGCGTGGCTAGCATATTCGCCCGACCTTAATTCCATTGAAAATCTTTGGGATGCTCTCGGCCGTGCTCTACCTTTACGCTTCCCATCTCCAGCCACTCTTATTGAGCTGGAAACTGCTGTACAAGAAGAATGGCGTTTGCTTAATTCTGCGGTGGTTGACCACCTAATTGAAAGCATGGTCACAAGGTGTGAACTTTGTATACAGATGAGGGGGATCACATACCCTATTAATGTCCTTTTTTTCATTTTATGCTGTTTATTTTCACTTTATACATAATTCTGTTTAAGTCTCCAGTATGTCATTATCTGATAACTTACAAAAATTTAATATTGTTTTCATTTCTGTATATAATTATTGATTTTGTTTTATGCATAAATATATATACTACTTTCCTGTCGAATTTTATGTCAATCAAAGCAGTATTTGTTGATTTTTTTTTTTGCTTTTACATCTTCGTGCTTAACGTTTGGAAGTAAGTGTACATACATGCGTACGTACAAACGTACGTCGAGGGAAAAAATCCTTTCTGAATCTATTTTAAATCCATTTTACAATCCGCTTTGGGAAAAAGAGTTCTTTATTCTCTCCGTACGTACAGATGTCGCGTAAAAACATCATTTAAATTGATTCGAGAGCGGTCGAAACGAGTATTTTCCTTGAAATATGATACCCTAAAATTTTTCTAGATTACAATACTTTACTTTGTGTAAGAATGTAACATATTAATTATTATAAATAAAATATTCATTTTTAAACATTACGTATCTATTTTAAATTTAAATTAATAATAACTTATTTTAAAGATTTTAAGTATGTAAATTCATCATTAAGTTATACCTTTTAGCAAAGCTGGGTGCTTATTTATTACAGGTGCTTTACAAAATGTAAAGCACCTGTAATAAATCTCTATCCTGTAATAAATACCGTATTATATGCTCTGCTGTTCGAAAACATTTACTAAAATTCTTAGCACTTGAACCTTTTAATAAATTGCATTTGACTATTCAAGAGTATTACGGTACTCTCTCTGTAAAAATGTGACAACATTCGAGAGAACTCAGGTCACCTTGGAGTGCAAATAGAATCGGAGCACCTTTTGACCACACGGAACGATATCACAATTTTAGCAAAAAGCATATGAGAAAAGGAACTTTGATCACAAACAAGCTTCATCCATGCCACAGTCA